GATATGACTGCAGAGCTTTGCTTTGATTTCCAAGGGGTGATACGTGTAACACGAAATGAAGCCCAACAAAATGAAGATTCCTTTTTCCACGTTTATGTTTCAAAACTTGCGAGCACGACCTAATGATCGCCGAACTCATATTGAATCTTTAATACTTATGTTCACAACATGTGACATATATATGCCGCCCTCAAAGATAATTCATCCATTGTAGAAAATCCCACAATAATTTATAAAAAGTTGTCTGAAAAATCAATATCCCTTGGCGGCTTAGTCTTTGATGGAAGTGACGGGTCAATTAGGAGGACAAGCCTGAGAAGGACACGTACGTACGTAGCCTAGCTCATCAGAATTCTGAAATATTCCAGTCAGCGGTGGAGCAGCATTGAACGTCTTTAATGGGAAAAATGCAAATCATTAAGGCATAATTGTCTGACAGAGAAGGTTATATGCATGGTTTTGATGGAATAATAAAGGTGATGCCAAATTCATAACAATCCGTGCTTATTTCGCCGCTGGATATCGGCTGATCGAGTAACTACCATATACGCGTGAACATATATCCCTTTCCCTTTCTCACAAGAAAGCTAGCTACTTTCGTGGTGTTTTTCTTAGCTAAGGATTAAAGTCATCTAAAATTGGTCTTCATAAATTTCTGTGAATTTTCAAATTCTGGTACTTTTTTATTTTCTTATTTTTCATAAAATGTAAATTTTTTCTCTCTTCCTTAAAAAAAATAAATTTCATAAAATTCATACATTCTCAACTTTAGAGAGGATTCATTCATTCATTCATTCTTCTTCTTCTTTATCATTCTTCATAGTTTAAGTGAAGGCCATTCTACTTATTTTTTCCTTTTCTTTCCTCTTAGTATTATATAATTTCTGAACATTGAAAGAATTTTTTGTTTTTTTTGTTTTTTTATTACTCACAGGTATTCTCTTATTAGAGACAATTTTATTTGAGATATAATCGAGTACTAAATGTGAGTACTTCTTTTAGTAAAAATTCAAACCATAATTTATCACGTTGTAAGAAATTAGTCCATTTTATTTAACCCAACCCTCGCTAGTAATTTTGTTTTTCCTTTATTGCCAACTTTCAATGGTTTGTTTAATAAAAGCATGCTTTTTAAAAAATTGTAATTAACATCTTTAGAGAATTTCTCACATGAATTTATCTATCATAGTCAAATTAAAAACCAGTTTTCCAAATTAAAACAAATTAAACAATGTGTTAGGTTGTGTGAGTAGACTTAAGTTGATGTAGAAAGTCTCATATCGTATAAAATTAAACTTAATAACTAATATATAAAAAAGATAAGGACTTATAAACTTAAATCTAAAAGTTTGAGATTTTGAGTTAAATATAATGTTTTTCTAATATTTTTGCCTATATGCTCTCTTTCCTCGTTTCCAATAGACAATATATAGTTGCTCTTCATTCGTAACAGTATGCTTTAAATATGAATATTTGTCTGTCTGAAAAATATCAATGTCCATTTTTTCTTTTTGATTTAATTTCTTAATAATTCTTTATTCTTCAAATTTTGGAACTTATCATACGTGACTCTTTTTTTTTTTTCCCAGGAAAAGGGACATGATATTCAAAACAATATTTTTTGCAAGAATTACATTGAAGTCTCATACAAAAAATTAATTACTACAAGATCCATTGATAATTGAACTAAACTGCATTGACAATACAATGCAATTTAATTCAATTATCAATGAATTTTACAGTAGTTAATTAATTTGTGTGGGAACCTGGTTGTAATTCTTCCTTTCTTTTTCTTTTGTTTTTTTTTTACCAAAAAAAAAGGTTCTGACGAATTTTGAGAGAGTGAGATTCATGCTATATTAGTGAAAAGAATCAAATTGATAAAAAAGGTGCAGGAGTAGAACAAAATCTCGGATATCAAAGCCTGATCCGAGCTTCCAGCAAAATTAGTGCGTTTATTCACCTCATATCAAGAGACGACAAATCTTAAGGATTTGATTCTTTCTCAATTCTCGTCGTTTCTTGAATTTATGTGGTCGAAGGATTTGAATGATCTCAACACAGAATTCTACTATTCAATTCAAGATCTCAAATTAATCTTGCAGAATCAAGTTAAGTTAGGGTCAGTGATCTGATCCCTTTGATAAGCAAATTTTTAAGAGAAGAAATCAAAACTTAGGAGGACGCTACCTGAACTGATAGACTAATATTTCTTCAGAAACTTCAAATCATGGACCACACGTAATTCCTTAAAATATTAGGCACAGCACCATCACTTTTATGCTCAACCTCATTCAAGTCCAATATATAAGTGATTTTCTCATAAAACATTCATCTTAAAGACCGAAAGTCAGCTGAAAGTAAAACAGAGCAAGCAAAGAAATAAGCTCTCACCGCGTTAATGATTATGTTATCAAATTTTAGAATTTACATTAAAGTATACATGACGATGATATTTAGTTCTGATTTAATTAAAAAAGGGAAAATCACATTTCGCACCCTCCTAAAAAAATTAATCATAAATAAGGACTAATAGAGAACGGATTATTGTTAAAATGAAATATGACTTATTTTTTCTCGAATGAAATTTATTGTTGGTCTTTATTTGAGATTTTTTTTTGAAAAAGAATTGGATGTAATTTTCCCATTAAAAAATATGAAGTATATGCGTGATTACTTATATCTTCTTAACTATCACGTTTAATTTCCTTACTAAGCTAGTAAGAATTTATTCCATACTTCAAAAAACGTGGGTGCAAATCCTACCTTAAATTTGAGGACTTACTTATAAGATGATGATCAAGTTATATTATAACCAATTAAAGTTGGTGTGAATAGTAAAAGTTTTTATTACTTAAATAAATAATTGAGAGTTCAAACTCCAACTCTTGTGTATATATAATAATTTAGTTGGCAAATGTCTGCTCATTGCTCTCAGCACCTCAATGTGAGATATTATTTACAGTTGGTGGAGTTTATTCTTTATACTTTGCCCCAAAAAAAAAAAAGAATTGTTTTCTATTAAAATTATTTTGTCTGGTCATATTTGCAATTGGGGTTGTAAAAAAAGGCCAAAAGACTAGACTTGGTTTGAAATAGTGAAGCGGTGGGCAATAACGTGGAATTGGGGATTAATAGCCGACGCAACATTCCAAAATCCAAACCCTTTCTGCTAATTATTAATTTGTGATCCCACTTTTGCTGCCAAGGACGAGAAGTCCATGACATTGATCATGACATAAAGTCAAAGACCAGCCCAAATTAGTAAGGGGAATAGCATTTTAATTAAAATGATAACAAGTGTGAAATCATATCCCCTTGCACTGCATTGCGCATGCTTTTTTAATAGGAGACTGACTCTGTTAGGTTTTAAAATGCTGACTTAATAACAATTCAGTCTCTAATAATTTTTTTAAAAAATTTGTGTTACAAATATTGCAAGCAAAAATCCTGAACACAATAAGAGTTACTCCCTCATTCCCTATATATAGAATATTTTTTAAAAATTTATTTTGTTCTTAAATTTAAAGGGATGTCATAATATTTTTTAAGTAATTGAACAATTTCACACTTATTGTTTTGAAAAAGGAAGAGATATTAATTGTATATTTTGATCCACCACCATGACATTGTGACATTATATTATTAGGAGATACGATTTTATGTGTTTTCAATTAAATAATAATTTTTATTAATATATGATATTTAATTAAAAATATGTTATATATAGAGACATGATGTGTACATTTGGAATTAAATATCTTATCCACAATTGAAATATAAGAGAAAAATAGTATCATACAGTTTAAGAAGATTACTTGATTATAATAATTATATTTAAAAATAAAAAAATTGAATTAATATGCCCTTCTGTTTAATCAAAATAAGTCTAATTAATTGTTTATTGTGAATGAAAATTATGAGTTTATGAAGAATAATTTAAAAAATTATAATAAATATTTATTGAGATATGTGATTTTGCTTATAAAAAAACAAAATAAAAAATGTCGGTTTTTGTTATATATAGAAATGGAAGGAGTGTTTATAATTCTCTGCATAGATATTAATACCCGGTGCTGCAAATTAATGATCATAAAAGACAATAATAATTTTAAAATTGCAGGGAAGGACTGATGAAGTTTAAAAAACAAAGAAAATGGACAGAGATGCCTTCATATAGTTGACACAGTTTAGTATAAATAAAATTAAAAAGCATAGTCATTTTAATGGAAATAAAATCAAGACTCTAAAAGTGATCAGGATCATTTTCACATGAATGGAAAATATCATATAAAATTAATGCCAAGTCATATGATTTGTTCATGGATCGTGGAGCCCATACTAGAGGACAGGAGAGAAAAATTGGATCATTTTCTAAAAAACAAAACGTGTAAGATTAAACTCATTTTCAATTAGCTATGTTTGAAACGACACTATCAAGCTACAGAAGTAATATGTGTTTTATTGAAAAAAAATGCAAAATGTTTACTTTAATTTAATTTGAAATACTATTTGTCAATGTTATTATGATTTATGAACTTTCAAATTTGATAATGGACCCTTGGCTCTGACATTCCAACCAAGAGATCTTTCTCATATATATTTTTTTAAAATGTCTAAGTATAAGTGAACCGGAGTCTTAACAGGTATCTAATATATATATATATATATATATATTGTTGAAAGACAATTGATAAACTCAAGTCATGATGTTTTAAGTCAAAATATAATGTGTCCATTGCTTATCACCCACTTGCATACCCGTCCCTTTAAGTTGGCAAAAAGTTAAAGGTGTAAATATTAAAACTAGTCTGCGGGTTCAGTTCAATCTAAATATACTGGCACATACATACATACATACATACATACATATTGAGCTCAGAAAATGAACAGAATTTCAATGTTGTTAGTGGCACAAACTATATACATGAAGCGTCAGAAAAATATATGAACGATTCTTGCACTCCATGGAATAATTCACGTGAAAAAAGGAACAAAAACAAGAGACTTTGCCAAGTTGCTAGATCGATAAAAAGATTTACCCCCCCCCGGGGGGGTGTATATAGTTGCTTGTTGTCGTATAATTCGTGTAAAAAAAAAAACATAGACACAATCGAAGAATCAGATCTATAATAAGAACATCGGCGGTGACTAGTGATCGCACTCTTTCCCTGGCATTCCAAATATCTTCCACATGTATCACATATGGGCTATATATCTATATATACAAGCGTTCAAATTTTGTGAGATCACAACCCCAAATACTTGATAGGTGAAGATCAGAACACAAGCATGGACCGGCACAAGGGGAAGCAGGAGAAGGCAAAGGATGAGACTCGGTACCGGGGCGTCCGGAGGCGGCCGTGGGGGAAGTACGCGGCGGAGATAAGGGACCCATCGAAACAAGGGGCGAGGCTGTGGCTGGGGACGTTTGATACGGCGGAAGAAGCAGCCAGAGCCTACGATAGGGCTGCCTTCGACATGAGAGGTCATCTTGCAATCCTTAATTTCCCTAACGAGTATTATTCTCTGCTGAGGCCCCCACCATACTCTCCCTTTATGCCTCCTCCTCTTCCTCCTCCGTCTTCTCACGCTCATGGAAGTGCCAGCTCATCGTCATCTGGTTCCCTGAGGAAACAAGTTTTCGAGTTTGAGTATTTGGATAATCAGGTGCTGGAAGACCTGCTGGAGCCAGAAGAGGAGAAAAAGAAAAGGATGCGAGATTGATTCTGTTCATCAGCCCTCTATTACCCTTTCCTTTTCAATTCTCTCTCCCGTCCTTTTCTGGCAGTAACGATTAGTACTATAATAATTGGACCAGATATATAGTCTTGTCATGCTGTTTTGTATCTGTTTGAACCGTCAGAATTTACTAATGTTTACAGCTTCGCAATACATGTTTTTTAAGTTCATCTTCAATTGTCCATCAGAAATCTACTTTCATTTTCGCCCCTAGCCCTAGTGGGCCACTCCAATATGGGATATTATTATTAACTTGATAGTAATAATTGTTGTATTTCTGTGTATAGAACCGTATTGCATTGTTAATTGGCATTTCGTATGCATATCAGTAGGTTCCTTATCTTTGATTTTTGAATAAGGCTGTCAGACACGAATGAAAGAGTCTACGCAGGGATTCGGAAACTTGAATATCAAATACGGATAAATTGAATGAAACACCATTCAGTTCTGAAGGAAGGAAACATACTCAACAATGGGATACGAACATTTTGTTCGAACGCTTTCCCTTTTCTATTTTGGAGGGGTGAAATTTCCTTCTTCTAATTAATTATCGCCATCATATATAACATCTGCAATGTTATGTTTAACTAGACACGAAGCCATATGCATTGCTTATACTTAATTATAACTCAACTTGCTATGGTTGATTATAGTGATAATGGTTGAAGTTGTTAGTTTGTCTAAATGTGGCTGTGTGATTGGATTTAAACCAATGTTAAAAGTTATATATTAAATAAAATTAAATTTAATAACTAATATATAATAAGAAAATGACTCAAACTTGAGTCTGTCTCCTCACTTATCTATATGCATTTCGCATATACACAGTTTTCATCCTTTAATCACACGAGGGTTTGATCCTAGAATATCTTGCTATCAAGAGGATGTGAAAAGTGCCACTAGACCAAAGGGTCATTGGCTTTTTTAAGATAATTTAATTAAAGAGTTGAACCATATATATGCAAACTAAAATTTGAATTTCTATTAATAGTTAAAAGAAATACTCATATTTAATGTTCAATCATGTTAAACAAAACTGCCTATCTAACATAAAAAGATACATGTACTCAGTCAAAATAATAATAATAATTATTATTTATATAATTATTTCATAACTGTCTCAATAACTACGATTATATATCTTTATTTATCACCTCTTCTTCTTCCTTTTGTTTTATTACTTTTATTTCTCCTTACCTTTCTTAAATATATGATATGGTAAGAGGAGATTAAATGAGAGTATTTATATAAAATTTAAAATAAATCATACTATTTTATAACTCATGAATATAAATCTTAGGGTGAGTTTCATTTTATAGTATTGATATTGATAACCAAAGTGGGCCCTGTTTATTTACAAAGGATAGATTACGATGAGCCATGCTTTTGGCTAACTTTCTTACAACTTCTATATAAAGATATATTTAAACATTTTATTGGTTAAATGACTGCTGTTTCAGCTATATATCCTACTACAGTGCATCGGATATTGGTCCCCATTAAATCGTGGACAGCTGGAGAGCAAATCTTATTTTATAGATAGATGATCCCCAATATAATGTCCTAATTAATAACTTAGAGGCTTCACACCTTCCCTCATTTGATTACACAGTTCAAAATATGAATTTATGATATATCTATGATGCTATCGATACTTATTCTTAAAATGCTTTGACAACGAGCCAGAAATGAAAAATACTGTGAATGAGCATATGTGTGTGTTTTACAATCTTCTTCCTCGCCAAGTTAATACTAAAACTGCATAAAGGACTAGACGATATTGACCTTCAATCTAAAGCTGAAATTTAGTTTTTTTTATGGAAAGGACTGGATTAGACAAGCCGTAGTCCGATCTTGTCCAATAATAACTCAAAAATTAATAGGACCAAATTTGGTCTATAAAACTGAAAAACTAATCCTACTAGTCCAGTACTCACTTAGTTATTTTTTTTTCTATGAGACACAATAATCCATTTCAACCTAGTAAGTTCAATTAAAATATTAAAAATACTTATAATCATAATAAATTCATAATAATTTCCAATAACAAAGAAAAAATATCTCAGTTATCGTTCAAATGATTTAAATTTATAACTTTAACACTACATTACAATAACAATTTAAAAACAAATTCAACAAATTTTCATGAAATCATTTCCTTAGCGTCAATTACACTTGAAACATTAGTTAAAAATAAATTAATTATAATTATATTAAATAAATTAATAGGATCGGATTAGAGCAAGTAATTCAGATGTCCAATCTCTTGTTAGTCTAACTTGAAAAAATAGTCTAATCTTTTCAGTTTTTTTAATTTTGAAGGACCAGTGTTATACGGACCGAACAAGACAGGACTATATCGGGTTGGACTAAGTCAAATCGGATTGAAGAACTTTTGCACAATCCTAGGTAATGCATATTTACTAGTTAATTCATAATAATTTCCAATAACAAAGAAAAAATATCTCAGTTATCGTTTAAATGATTTAAATTTATAACTTTAACACTACATTACAATAACAATTTAAAAACAAATTCAACAAATTTTCATGAAATCATTTCCTTAGCGTCAATTACACTTGAAACATTAGTTAAAAATAAATTAATTATAATTATATTAAATAAATTAATAGGATCGTATTAGAGCAAGTAATCCAGATGTCTAATCTCTTGTTATCTAACTTGAAAAAATAGTCTAATCTTTTCAGTTTTTTTAATTTTGAAGGACCAGTGTTATACGGACCGAACAAGACAGGACTATATCGGGTTGGACTAAGTCAAATCGGATTGAAGAACTTTTGCACAATCCTAGTTAATGCATATTTACTAGGTTCGTAATGTAAAATTTCCTATCGAAAATTAAAATGAATCATTACACCCGCACATGTGTTTGTATATAAAACAGTAAAAGAGAAAGAATACAGCAGTGGTGTAGAATGTGTGTGTGATTAACAAATTAAGTCTATGGGTTGTGAGAAAATTAAGCATGACTAACAATTTTGATATCTTTAGTATAAGAAGTTTTGGGCTTACACTTGAGAGGAAGATTGTTAAAATGTCTAAGTGAATGAATTTAAGTTGATGTGAAAAGTCTCACGTTGAATAAATTTAATAATTAATATAAAACAAAGAAAATGACACATAAACTTAAATTTTAAAGTTTTAAATTAAGATGTGACGTCACTGATAAGGTCTATGGATAGTGAGAAAATTAAGCATAAATAACAATTGTGGCTTCTTTAATACAAGGAACTTCTAGATACTTACTCAAAGGAGGATCAAGCTGGACTAGTAGCTAATATAAAATAAAAAAATAATCCATAAGTTTAAGTCTTGAGTTTTTGAGTTAGTATTTGATGTCTTTTTACTATTCTTACTCATTTGTTCTCCACCCCCATTTTTGGGCAGTCATTCTTAATTCCTAACAAGTGCATGAGAACTAGAGTATGCCACATAGTTTGAAATTTAAAAATGCATAAGAGCAAGTATTTGGTGTTTTGTGATGTCTTTGATATGAGAAGCTCTATGAACTTACACTTTAAAGGGAGATTTATTAAGTTATTTAAGCATGAGTAAATTTAAATCAATGTAGATAATCTCACATCAAATGAAGTTAAAGCTATGATATATATACACTAGAGGAGAAAAATCCAAACGTGTGGTCCTTACATTGTTTTTCATCTATTTGTTCTCTACTCCCATTATCTAGCGGTGGCTCCCATCTCCCAGCAAATATATTTGTCTTGAAACTGATCGCTCTCATTAAGATATTTGCAAACGTTGCCAACAAAAATTATCGGTCTTGAAGCGTACATGAATTTAAGTAATTACTAGCCTGTCATCATAAACTTTAATTTTTTAAAGAACTGTTTAAGAGCATTTTCGAACTTCTTCCTATTTAGGTTTTCTTTTCTTCTTTTGACTGGATCTGATCTCCTTTAAGTGAATGAATAAATTTGAAATTTTTGATCGACAAGGAATAAATATGATGTACTCCAAAGTGCTTGTATATATTATATATCATTTGGAATTATGCTCTCTTATTGAAAGTCAACAGAAACCAAAGAATTTTCCAGTTAGAGCTTGTAACTTTGAGCATGTATGTAGTGTGTGTGTGTGTTTGACAATTTGTACATGAGCGTACGTGTGTGTATAGACAATTTTTCATGACATTTCATTATTTAAGTATTCTGGATATTGTCAATTATTATTCTAGATTTCTGGCATGGTATTATTTGAAGAAAAGTGCATATCATATATATATATATATATATGATAAATTTGAGATCCGATATAAACGAGATTAGGAAAAGTATTTTTCTCCTTTTACACTAGTGGGTTCAGAACCATATATTCAATCCATTGATTCCAAAGACAAATTTTCAAAAGCTTGCATGCTTAATATTCTTAACTAGAGGTTCTTTCCTCTTTTTTCGTCATAAAAGATGATGATGATGATGAACGGTCGCTAGTCGCTACAGTTTCCATTCTATTAGCTTTATAGTTAATTAATATTTTAAACTGAGCTTTAAAGTAGTTCTTCATTGTAGATCTTCATCTTTGTTCGAAACAAATAGCATTCGTCGTTTTTAACAGTAATTTTTTTATAATGAAACACATTAACATATAAATTATGAAATTTATAAGAAATCGTATTGTTTATAAAACAGTTAATAGAAAAACTCATTTCTGAATGTTTCATATAATTACCCGTGATCCACCTAGTCAAATTTTTAGAAATTAAGAGTTCTATAAAAGATCGCAGCATATAAAATTATAAATTCAAGAACACAAAAAGTTCCGAAACTGATGACACCAAAATGAGAATCTATATCTGATCAGTTTCTATTTTGCATTTTTCCAGTTAAAAACTGTTCTCGATGAGAATTCAACTTATATATCATAAACTACTACTTAAACCGTAAATGGGGAATCTATATCTAAGTTTCTATTTTTCACTTTCAGATATGATTCTCCATTATGGGCTCAAATGAAAAAATAAAAAAGGTGTTGAAGATCAAATTGGAGGGACTCATGTATACATATATATATATATATATATATATATATAGTTTCCCATTTTAGGATTGCATTGCAATTTGCAAGGTCATCGACTTACAAAAAGGTCAAGTGGTCATGGGCATTAGGATCCCATTAGCCTAAATAAGGGTCAACAACAAGAGCATCGATCCACTTGTAAAT